GACGTGGCAGTGCCTGGAGACAGCAGAATAGACGAGAAAGAACTGGAGAAGATAACGAAATACAAAGACCTACAAATAGAAATAGAAAGACTGTGGCAAAAGCAAGCAAGGGTAGTACCAATAGTAATAGGCTCCTTGGGTGCAATCCCAAAACAACTGGAGCACCATTTGAACACCATTGGCATTGACAGATTCGCTATTAGTCAATTGCAAAAGGCGGCCTTACTAGGAACTGCTTCCATCCTGCGACGATATCTGTAATACCATCAAACATCCACATCTGCCTATCCCAGGTCCTGGGTAAGGACTCGATAGGTAGACAAAATGCCAAATCCAATCTGAACATCTGGCTGACTGTGCGATGATCCATAATAAAAAAGTTGGAAGGGACCTTGGAGGTCACCTAGTCCAACCCCCTGCTCAGGCAGGAAACCCTATACCATTTCGGACAAATGGCTGTCCAGTCTCTTCTTAAAAACTTCCAGCGTTGGAGCATTCACCGCTTCTGGAGGCAGGTTGTTCCACTGGTTAATTGTTCTAACTGTCAGGAAGTTTCTCCTTAGTTCTAGGTTGCTTCTCTCCTTGATTAGTTTCCATCCATTGCTTCTTGTCCTGCCTTCAGGCGCTTTGGAGAATAGCTTGACTCCCTCTTCTTTGTGGCAGCCCCTGAGATATTGGAACGCTGCTATCATGTCCCCCCTCGTCCTTCTGTTCATTAAACTAGGCATACCCAATTCCAGCAACCGTTCCTTATAATGTTTTAGCCTCCAGTCCCCTAATCATCTTTGTTGCTCTTCTCTGTACTCTTTCTAGAGTCTCAGCATATTTTTTACATCGTGGTGACCAAAACTGGATGCAGTATTCCACAAGAGCAGAACCAAAGCTTGTAAGCGGTATTTTTTTTTATTTTGAGAAAACAGAGATAGAAAGATGGAGGAAACAAAATGGGGGGGGCGGGAAGAGAATTTTTATTATACCTGGAATTTCTATGATCTAAAGTTAAGGGGGAAGCTTACTTTTACTAACTGCTTTACAGCCATGACGTTTGTCTACTTTCACCCACCAACAATTTTCTATTCACCCCAAATAAAGGTGAACCAAAATTTATGATAACCGATGGACTGCAAAAATAACAAAGAAGTCCTAGGCCAAACCTCACCAAAAATATTACTTGAAGACAAGATCACCAAAGGCTGTCATACTTTGGTCATGTCATGAAACTCACTCGAAAAGTCAGTCGTGCTGAGTGCTCAATGGAAAAAGGAGAAAGGGCTACCCTCGTACTCGCTGGCTAGACACTACGACACTGGGATGACCATGGTGGATCTGAAGGAGGCGGTGCGAGACAGAGGGGCATGGAGAAGGCTGATCCAGACAGTGGCCGAGAGTTGGACATGACTGAATGACTGACGACGAGAGTTTATGACAATCCACTCAAACAGGAAGGGTAAACACAAAGAAGCCAGAGGCAGGCGACAAACTTGATAGAATTAAAAACCAAGCATTAAAATCAAGGCCTTTGACTTATAGATGGGCAGTGAAGTTACAACGAAGTGATAATTTTACACCTGGTAAGAAGAAGATACTTCCCTTGATGTTTCAGAAGAATTAAGTACCCTGAGGATCACGCAGATGGAAGTTGAGCCACCTGTGTCATACCAGGTCAAAGGAGAGGCAGCAGCGGCTATGTTTTAGCTAATTTAGCAATAGCAATAGCGTAACAGGTAGTCCTCAACCTGAAACAGTTCACTTAGTGACCAAGTCATCATAACACCATTGAAAAAAGTAACTTATGACCGTTTTTCAAACTTATGACTGTTGCATCATCCTCAGGATCACGTGATCAAAATTCAAACACTTGGCCACATATTTAGGACAGTTGCAGTGTCCCAGGGTCCCCTTTTGTGACCTTCTGAAAAGCACAATCAATGGAGAAACCAGATTCACTTAACAACCATGTCCCTAACTTGACAACTACAGTGATTCACATAACAACTGTTCTAAGAAAGGTCATAAAATGGAGCAACTTAACAAATATTTTACTTAACAACCGAAATTTGGGGCTCAACTGAGGTCGTAAGTCGAGGACTACCCGCATACCACTTCACAGTGCTTCACTGGCCTCTCTAAGCGGTTTACAGAGTCAGCATATTGCCCCATAACAATCTGGGTCCTCATTTTTCTGACCTTGGAAGGATGGAAGGCTGAGTCAACCTGGAGCCAGTTTGTCCTGGCTCTGAGGAAAAAGTCAGAGAGAAGATGGTGCTGTTCAGGAATCTGACAAGGAACAGAATTCATTCGAGCTCACATGCTCGAATTTAGGAGGATGGAACACAAAGTAGTTCCTCCAGTCCCATAATTGTAGTTTAATTAGGCATGATTTAATCAATAAAACAGGAAAATAATCCTTGAACTGAGCTGTTTGGTTCCCTGCATTTACCAGTATTATGTACACTTGCTGTGTTATTTCTCTAGTGGTGGACAAATTTCTTAAAGCTAGCCTGAAAGCTTTGTCTCTTCCACCACTTCCTAATGGCCCTGTACATCTCTTCCATCTTTTCATTAGAGTCAAACAGATGCTCACAGATTTTGGGGAAAAGTGGAAGTGACACAGTACCAGACCGGGCTGTATGGCAGGAGGGGTAAGATGGAGAGACCCAACTTCACAATTGCATTATTTTGTGGTAGCAACATTTTCTCACTGCGCTGACAAATTCTGCTTAATTTTTGTTTCAGAGTTTTTGAGTGTTGCAACATGGGACTATGACCCGACAGTGGTGTCAGATTCCAGGAAATCTATGTGTCCCAACCAACTGTACCAACAAGCTCTGCCAAAACCTAGATTTTTTTTCTTCACAGCTGAAGCTTTGTGATACCATTCCATGGAGTCCTTGTTTCGTCAGCCATCTGCGTACTGATAAGAACTCACTGTAGGCTCCACGAGCCTCATTAACCAAATGTCTATGGTGATCATCCAGCTCATGGTTGTCCCAAAGGTGCTGTTCAAAATGTTTTGCTTTCTGTCCAAGAACTGAGAGAATTGAAGAAGCTTCTTGGATTGAAACCAGAAACTTTTCTTTTGGGTTTAATGGAAAAAAAAGATTTGGGGGGGGGGAATTGGAACTCCGATCCTGTATATGTTGACGGCAGCAAGACTACTGTATACACAAAAATGGAAGGATATTTTGATTCCCAAAATTGACTGTTTTGATTAAAGAAAAGAATACAAGTACCTTCATTTCTACCTGGAGACAGCTTTTTGAACTTTGTGCTTGAGGTGGGAAAAAATGAAACTTCGATTCTGAGTTTCACTGATTAGATTGATTTGGTGTTACAGAAATGGCTAGTTTTTACTATTGTGAAAAAGTCAAAAGCTGAGGCTGGATGTTAATGCTTTATTCTACTGCAACAGGGGAAGTCAGAAGTCAATCTCTTTTTTTTTCTTTTTCCTCCCTTTCCCTCCCTTTCTTCTTCCTTTTTCCTACCCATTGTGTCCTACTATTTGCTTTGCATTTTGTATTTTAATTTACAATTTCAAAAAATATTAAAAAAAAGAAGCTTCTTGTATGAGAAGCGAAACATTTTCAAGGAAAAAAAAATCAAGAAAGTCCAGTTACCTTTTGAACAATACCTTTGGGACTTAGCAACACATTATTTTCTTACAGAAACTTCCCACCAATTGAAGTGACACAACAGCTGCTAAAGAACAGGTGACAGCGTCTCACATCTCACTACTACCATCTATTAGTATGACCTAATTTCCAACTTTGTGACTGCAGTGTCCCACAGTTGTGTGCCTGCAATTTTTAAAGCTTTCTTGCCACTTTCTGCTTTTCACTTCTGGTTTCTTGCAAAATTAACCATTGGGTATCATGGATTTGCTTAATGACTGCAGCATTTGCTTAACAACCACCACAAAAAAGGACATAACATCAGATCGGGTCACATGGTGACCTGCTTAATAACTGCAAAGACATATGAGCATAATTCTAGACTCGATTTTATTTGTAAGCTGATAACTACCTAAAATAACATTGGAGGCATTGTTTGCCATCAAGCTTGATGCTGCATTTATATCCTGTGTTTTTCCTCTGAGAATTCATAACTGTCTATAACAGGGGTTCTCAACCTTGGCAACTTTAAGACTTGTGGACTTGAACTCCCAGAATTCCTCAGCCAGCTTTGCTGGCTGAGGAATTCTGGGAGTTGAAGTCCACAAGTCTTAAAGTTGCCAAGGTTGAGAATAAGACCTCTTCTGACATTTACTCTAAATTTAAACAACCTGTGATATAGGCTGAGTTGAGAAATAACAGCAGGGTAGAGTTATCCATTGGCTCTTGGCAGTTCAATACCTGCTGCATGCTATTAGTTCATGATGAGCTAGTAATCTGGGAAAATACAGAACTCAGGGAAACAAAGTCACATTCCCAATTTGCCTTCTCATCAATGGATGTCTTATGATCAATCACATCCCCAACATCAGCCATTGTGCAGCTAATGACACACACACAGAATCCATACAATATACTCATAGCATCATTTCATGACGTAGCAATACTTCACAATGTCAGCCATTTTGCAGTGAACATATGAGCCATTTGCTGACCAGCCCCGACCACAATGACATTACCATTCACAATACCCACAAATTAGATTATATGCTAGTCAAAATCATATTTTTTTAAAACATCCTTCAGCTCTTTCAGTCTTGTGCTAGTTAGTACATATAGCCAGCCTAGGCACATGCATGCAGTTTTAATAGTGAATCAGCTCCACAGGGATTAAACAGGAAGGAAGGAAGGCAGGCAGGCAGGCATAGTTCTTTCTGCAATGAACTTGATTTAAAGGACATGACCATAAATCTAGGTCAGACTGACCCTTCCCAAAGATCTACTTCCAATAATTGAATCACAGGTTGAAGTTTATAGGGGAGGGTGACCATGTGGTAGAACAACAAATATTAGCTATTGATTTGAAAGTATATATAGAATGGCAAAGCTCTGTCAGAACCTTGCTCTCTTTAGTATAGCTCCAGTTGGTGTCTTCTCTGCTTCCGCAAAAATTTCCAAAATGCGTCTTTTAATTTCCTTTTTCATTGGGATACAGATGCTTCTCTCAATGGTTGCCTCTTCCCCTGTTCCCTTTGTTCACCCATCATGCAATTCTTTGGAGGTAAAGGCAGCTGCAGAAGCGGCCGTTGACAAACTCAATGCAGATCGGAAAGAAGGCTACATTCTTGGCCTCCTGCGCATTTTTGATGCCCGTGAACTCACCCGGGTAAGTTCTACTCCTTTTTTCTTCTTTTTTCTTTTTTCCTTCTACTCAGCACCAATCATTCTGTTGCTCAATCATGGTAGCACTAATGTATCTAGGCAGGGAGAAAAAATCTACAAAATCACTTGATAGCACTCAGAGGATACAAGTAGCTACCATGCTATCCTTGAGTCTACTGGTCATCCAGAATCCTGCTAGCTTAATCCTAATAAAATAAGGGTAAGGAGTATAGAGGAAGCCACTGTTTCTCCTGAATACTAAGAGTATTAGGCAGAGCGTAGCAACTCTACTTGCTAAATATCTATGGAGATTCTCAGTCATCCAGGTCATGGTTGTCCCAAAGGTGCTTTTTCAAAAGACAACAGGATTTTGTTCAAAACCGAAGAAGCCTCTTGGATGAGAAGTGAAACATTTTCAAGGAAAAACAAACTCCAATCACCCTGGTGACCAATGGATAATCACTTATTACTAGGATTAAAATAAATATTTTGTACCATGTGCCTTCTAAATGTCTTGGCATACAGGTAGTCTTCAATTTACGATCATAATTCAGCCCAAAATTTCTGCTGCTAAGTCAGACATTTGGTAATGTCTTGGGTTTTGCCCCATTTTTTTTTTTTTTTTTTTTTTTATTGAAAATTTTTACATTTTACAAAAACAAATCCCCTTCCCATACCCCCCCCTACCTCACCCCCCCCCCCTTCCCAAGCTCCCAAACCCTCCCCTGGACTTCCCAGAGCTGAGTACAGGCTTAATTAAAAAAAAAAAAAAAACTTAAAACACTTTTAAAACCTAAACAAATTTAAATACAATCATCATTCTATATAAGCTCCCTCCAAAAACACAAATTTAAACATTACTTTCTTTGAATATCTATATCTATAATATAAAATCTAATTTCTCCCTCTTTCTTTATCCTAAAACGAAAAAATAAACATACAAATCTTTGTTATACCATTAAAGCTAAATACTCTTAAAGAACTTAAGGTAAGTACATATTTCCTTCAATCTTCATAATCTTCTCTCCTATCCAAAAAGAAAAAAAAAAAAAAAAAAAAAACAAAAACTTAAAAAACCTATAAGTCCTAAACAAATCTAAGCACATTTAATTAAACAAATTATTTTGTCTTAAAAATATTAATAATAATATTTAAAAACTAAAAACACTTTTAAATCCTAAACAAATCTAAATACAATCATCACTCTATATAAACTCCCTCCAAAACCACAAATTTTTAAAATTTAAAACATTAGAATCCACTCACTAAAATAAGCAAATTATAATCCCTTCAAAACACAAATTTAAACAATATTATCATTAAAGGTTCAAAACTTAAAACAACAAAGTTAATAAACACCTTAAACATTTCAATCTTCACCAATAACTAATTCCATCCGTAAAAAACTACATCCTTATCAATCTCAATTATATTAGTATTATTAATTATTCACATTCCAGTTTTTTCCATTCTCCATTCTTCCATTCTTCCATTTCCCTTCTCCATTCTTGTATCAAACTCGTAAGAAATGCTGCAAGTTCTGCCTTAGGAGACTGCTCCAAAATTCCTGAATCTCCCATCGACTCCGAAGCCAATAAGGGTTCCTTAAATTCCTCCTTGTATTGATCTTTACAATTGTAAGTTGTACAAGTTATCCTCTGCCCGTTCCTCTCTTGTTGATGCCCCTCAGAATGAGATTTCCCAGTTTCCATTTCAGGCAACAATTCCACCCTTAAAGATTGCTCCAAAGACTTTGTAGGTCTAACATCTCCCAGAGATTCAGAAACCACTAAATATGAAACTTCCTTAACCTTCTTCTGTTGCTGCTTTTCTTTGGGCTTATATACTGCACAAGTTGTCTTCTGCTCCTCAACCTGGACTTGTTGAGGCCTCTCACACAAAGATTCTCCAGTTTTCATAAATATAGGCTCTTCAAACGGTGATTCTACATTCTTTTCTTCCAAAGCTTTAAACTTAATTGATGGCGATGCACATACCCCCAGGACCGAAGTATAAAAATCTTTTGCTTGAGAAACAGTATTAAGTCTATAACATGTCCCCAGGTAATTCACCACCATTCCAATCGGAACATCCCATCTGAATGACATTTTTCTCTTTTTAAGTTCATTTGCTAAAAAAGCAAACTCCTTTCTTCTTCTTAAAATTTTAGATGGGATCTCTTTAAAAATTATAACATCTTGTGAAGCAAATTGAAATCTCTTCTTATAATAGGCTTGCACAATTTCATTGCGTAAAGATCTTTTACCAAAGTAAATTACCACATCTCTTGGCAGATTCTTCTGTGCTGCCACCACAGAGTTAACCCTAACTAATTTTTCAATTTCACTAAGTATTCCCTCTTTTTCTTTATTCAAAATCAATGCAAAGTCCTTTGCAACCATCTCCTTCAGATCTCCTTGCAAAGACTCTCCCAGGCCTCTAATTCTTTAGGCATATTCCATTTGTCCATATTGAAGCATAAGAATCTCATTTTCCATTTCTTTTTCCATACTTTCAATTTTCCCCTCCATTATGTCCACTTTTTCAGCTACCTCTTCCACATGGGAGTTAACCTTTTCAAGAACAGAAGCAACACCTTCTAAAGCCAAAACAAAATCTTGTCTCAAGATCTTATTGTTTTCCTCTAAAATCTTTTTCATTTCTGCCCTAATTTGAATTATAACATCTCCCATCATGTCTTGCAAGTCATTCATAGTTATTAGCTGACCCCCAGAAGAGGGTGAAACTGTTGATTTAGAAGCTGTAGAAATCCCTGGACGCTTTGGAGCCATCTTAAAGAAAAACCTTTAGTCCTTCTTAAGAAATTATAAAAATTCCTTCAAAAATCATAACTCCCTCCAAAGAAGGTCATTATAATAAAAAGAAAAAAGGGAAAAAAAGGAAGAGAAAAAGAATTAAAAAAAAGTTTTACTCCTTCTTAAAAATTACAAAAAATTAAACAAAAAAAAAGTCCTTCAAAAAAGGGTCATTACAATAAAAAAAAATGGAGTTCAAAGGAAAAAAAAAGGGAGAAGAAAAAAAAAAATAATAATTAAATAAAAAAAGTCCGTTCCAAAAAAAATACTTAGAGATACCAAAAACAACCATTCCAATCATAAGGAAATAAAAAGAGAAAGGGAAAGGAAAGAAAGAAAAACACAAAAAAGCCTGCCGGTCAGCATTCTAACTTCCAGAAAAAAAAAACACCGAGGAGTTTGCCGATCGCCATTTTACTTTCCCTTTCAACAAAGAAAAAAAATAAAAAGAGAGAATACAAATAGAAACAAATCTTAAAACTTAAAATCCAAATAAGTCAAAGAAAGCAAAAACTAAATCCTCTACTCAGCTCTGTCCATTTAAAAAAAAAAAACTCACCAGTTCTCTTTAAGCACGGAGGTGTTTGCAGCGGCTCGTTTTGTCCCTGAGGACAAAAACAGCTGGGAAGCGGAGACAAGTCTGAACTCCGTGGGAGCACTCCTTTCACCCCCCCAAAAAAAAAAAACTTGGGGGGTGCGAAAGAGGCTCTACCACTATTCAGACCCTCTCTACCCCCCCCCTTTGCCCGGGAGGGGGATTTTGAACCGCTGAACAGCTGGTGTCTGCTGTTCATAGCGGTTCTTACACTTACCCAGGAGGACGGCTACAAAGTAGCCGCCATCACGCACGCAAAATCCACCGGAAGTTCCGGGTTTTGCCCCATTTTTATGATTTTTCTTGCCACATTTGGTAAGTGAATCACTATAATTGTTAAGTTACCAACATGGTTGTTACGTGAATCTGGCTCCCCCGTTGACTTTGCTTATCGGAAGGCAAATTGCAAATTGCAAAAAGGCAATCACAAGACCCAGATCACTTAACAACTGCAGTGATTCACTTAACAACCAGGGCAAAAAAGGCCATAAAGCTGAGCAAGGCTCACTTAATAACCGCCTTGCTTAGCAATGGAAATTCTGGTCCTAATTGTGGTGGTAAATTGAGGACTAACTATACAGAAAAGACATCAGTCTTGCATCGCAAAGGCCACCACAACTTCGCTTCCATTACTTGGCTTCTTGACATCATGTGCAAATGGGTTGGCCTCCTAATTTTTTCTGAATGTTGATTTGAAGTTTAATGTATTTCCATGTAAAGTGCTTTAAGGTGATGGACAGCCTGCCTTGACTTTTCAAGAGTTTTTCTTTATTTGTCCCTAACAGTTTGGTAGTTCTCTTTTCTACCTCACCTTGGATATGTTAGAAACCGATTGCTATGTCCTGACTAAGAAACCATGGAAAGAATGCAAGATTAGAAATCTATACGAGACAGTAAGTAACCAATCTACTACAGTAAAAGAACTACCAACGAGGATTAGAAGGAAATCACATCAGACTTTTGAATAGTTTGTCCCATGACTCTTGCACTTGGGAAAGGTTTCCTAATAACAGAATAACAGCATAGAAGGGACCTTAGAGGTCTAATCCCTGCTCAAGCAGTAGACTCTTTAGTATTCTGGGCCAATGGCTGTCCAATCTCTTTTTGAAAACTTCCAGTGATGGAACACCCACAACTTTTAGAGGCAAGAATTAATTGTTCTATCAGGAAATTCCTCCTTCTTTTAGGTCAGTGGTTCTCAACCTTTTCAATGCCGCGACCCCCAACCGGTCGTAAGTCGAGGACTACTCAACTGGTGCAGCACCGTTTGCAGACTGGGACTTTTGGCGGGCTCAGCAGGGCAGAGACAGTCTGGACAATTCCTATTGGGTTTTGAAAGCCAATAGAATTAGACTCTATTCAAGAGAGTCTATTGTATTGGCTTTCAAAAGCCAATAGAATAAAAGGGAGTAGCACAGCTAAGGAAAAGGGGGAAAAAATGGCGGACTGCGTTGTTTGGTGACCCCCGTGAAATGGGGTCCCGACCCACAGGTTGAGAACCACTGTTTTAGGTTGTATCTCTCTTTAATGGTCTTTCACCCATTACTGCTTGTTCTGCCTTTGGAGAATAAGTTGACCCTCTTGTGGCAGCCTCTCAAATATTGGAAGACTGCTGTCATGTCACCTTTTCATTAAACTAGACATACCCAATTCCTGCAGCCGTTCTTCATATGTTTCAGCCTTCAGTCCCTTAATCATCTTTGTTGCTCTGCTCTGCATTCTTCTTAAGAGTCTCAACATCTTTTTTTTTTTATATCGTGGTGCCCAAAACTGGATGCAATATTCCAAATGTGGTCTTACCAAAGCATTACAAAGTGGTACTAATATTGCACTAATATTCAATCTGAATCTGCCCTTCTGAAACTTAAAGCAGTTCTTCCATGTCCTGCAGCCTGGAGAAAAAGAAGCAGTTTTTGTCCTTCTTCTAAGCGATCACCTTTTTGGTACTAAAGGTAGTCCTTGCCCCTTCCCCTCCAGTCCTTTGTAAACAAAATATTCACATCTACCTCATGGTCTTCATTTCAGTCTTCTGAGCATTCTTCTTGCCTTTTTCTGACTCTTTCCCATTTTGTCTGATTCCTCCTAAAGATATGATAAAATTCCCAGATAATACTTTTTGGCCCTTTGGCCCTTAAAATTTGGTCTAAGGCTGGAAGAAGATCAGGTGGAATTGATATCATATCTGCTAGATCGATCATCTATGCTGCACAAATGAGTTCTTCCTAATAACTCCTAATACCGACATGTCAAACACAAGGCCTGGGGGCCGGATGCGGCCCGCGAAGTGGTTTCATGTGGCCCGCGAAGCCATCCTGGAAACAGTGAGGGAACGGTCCCCACTGCCTTGGCCCTGGCCCAGGCCAGCCGGGAGCCAATGTACAATTTTGTGGTGGCCATCTATGCTGAAACGTAGTCAATCTTAGCTCCACAAGGCCTTCTGGAAACAGCGAGGAACTAGCTCCTGCCGCGTCGGCCCCGCCCTCTGGGTGCATGCTGGGGAGGTATCACCCTTTGTGAGGAGTGAAGGAATGCACCATCGCTTGGAAGTGGCCAGCAAATGGCCCTCACCTACTTTACATATCTGGCTTGATGGGCAGGCAGTGGGGCACTCTCTTCCCAGCGCCGAGAAGCTGAGCCGGGCGGCGCAAATCCAAAAAGAAGTGCAACAACACCTAGCCCCCAGCCTGCCCGGTTTCAGTGTGGAAAATGTACAGCTTTTCATAATGTATCATGGGATCACTGGTAAAAGAAATGGGTGGCGCTAACACAAACTACCTTTTCTTGTTCCAGGTCTATGGTCAATGCAAAGTAGTAATTGTTTACAACAAGAATACAGATTATTCGTACCTGTACAGTTATCACTGTGCTTTACGCCCAGGTATGTATTTTCCACGTTTGCCTGCATGTAGATTTGCAAGAAAAATCTATCCCAGCACAGACACTTCCCAAATGCAGTTTTGCAGATTTCCTCACAGAAATTTTAGAAATAGATGCAGAAGCCCCCAAATGAAGCCTTGTTTCATTCTTCAGGGTAGCTTAGGCTACTTCTGTAGTTCCAGCTTGTGCTATTTCTCAGCCACATGTGCTTTTTGGCCCAATTTCATTTCTATATATTTTTGTGACAGATTAGTGCATTTTTCAAACACTTTTTTTCCTGTGGACACTTTCTGCCAGTGCCTTTTTTCTTTAGTATAATATATTATTTTCTACAAAACACATTGATCTGATATACAATTGTAACACCTACATTTCTGAGCAAATTTTTGAATTGCAAACTACATCATAAAACTAAAAAAAGGAAAGGAAAGGAAATTCAGATTCCCCCCCCCCCAAGTCAGGTCCAAATGACATTTTCAATCCCATTCATGGAAGGAGAGGGAGACTTTTCTGGCCTCTAAACCAAGGGTCCCCAATCCCCGGTCCGTGGACTAGCACCGGGCCGCGGCATCCCAGAAACTAGTCCACGCAAACAAGCAAAGCCCCATCCGTGGGATGCAGGCAGAACGTGAAACTATACCCCCTCCAGTACACGAAAAAAACCTATCTCCACGGAACCGGTCCCTGGTGCCCAAAAGGTTGGAGAACTCTGCTCTAAACTCCAGCCACAGCTATTGCTTAAAACTTAAAAGAGGTATATGAAATATAACACATTGTTTCTCACTGAAGATTACTTTGCTTTCTTATGTCATATTATAACATCGTAGAAATAACCTCGCAGGATACAGTTATGAGTGCAGAAGTTTGCAGAAGAAGCATACATTTTAAGAAAAGAGATATAATTGCTACGCAATTGAAGTCGGATACTTTTACTGCTTAGTTAGAGCAAAACGTGATGGCCATAATTGAACATGGTATTATGGACAAAAGTTATGGCAGTCATTAAGCGGGTCTCCATGTGCTCAGAGATGAAATAAAGTTAAAGATAAACTCCCAAACCTACTATCAGCCTTACTTACCTTGGCCATGTCTCTGAGCACTGAACACCTTGTACTTCTGGGCACTCCAGGTAGGTTGCAGTTTGGAATTACAGTTCAGGCTGCATTAACAGAGGGATAGAATCAAGATCACGTGAAGTACCACTTTACAATGCCTTGGTAAGACCACACTTGAAATACTGCACCGTTTTGGTCACCACGATGTGAAAAAAATGTTGAGACTCTAGAAAGAGTACAGAGAAGAGCAACAAAGATGATTAGGGGACTGGAGGCTAAAGCATATAAGGAACGGCTGCTGGAATTGGGTAGGTCTAGTTTAATGAAGAGAAGGACGAGGGGGGACATGATAGCAGTGTTCCAATATCTCAGGGGCTGCCCCAAACAAGAGGGAGTCAAGCTATTCTCCAAAGTGCCTGAAAGCAGGACGAGAAGCAATGGATGAAAACTAATCAAGGAGAGAAGCAACCTAGAACTAAGGAGAAACTTCCTGACAGTTAGAACAATTAACCAGTGGAACAACCTGCCTCCAGAAGAGGTGAATGCTCAAACACTGAAAGTTTTTAAGAAGAGACTGGACAGCCATTTGTCTGAAATGGTGTAGGGTTTCCTGCCTGAGCAGGGAGTTGGACTAGATGACCTCCAAGGTCCCTTCCAACTTTATTATTATTATTATTATTGTTATTGTTATTAATAATAATAATAATAATAATAATAATAATAATAATAATAATAATATCACAGCACTGGAGGATAATGGGTTTCTGGGAGCTTCATGTTTGATTATCTCAAATCTTTGGTAGTTAATATGCATTTTTTTTCTCAACATGTTTCTTGTGACCCTGTTGACTATTTGCAACAAAATGTTTGATAGTTCTGTGATCACGCCCCAATATCTTAGCAATTTCAAGAGCGCTGCATCCCTCTGAAATTTTTGACTTTCTAGAGTCAGTTAAATCTCTTTTTTGGCCCATTTTGCCTGAGGAAAAGAAGTTACCTAATAATTATGCACACCTTGATATAGGGTATTGATCTCCTTAGGCCACACCCTCACTCATTACACAAATACACATCACCTGATATGCTTAAATCCACTAAGCCAGGGGTGTCAAACTGCTGGCCTGCCGGCCAGATGCATCATGCCAAAACTGCACCCACCCCATTGCCAGCAATGGAGAAAAAGCTGTGATACATCGCGACATGTCACGTGACATTGCGAGTTTGACACCCCTGCACTAAGCATTCAAGTTTATACATCTTGGAGGTGGAAAATATGCATGAAAATGAAGATATGGTCAAAACACTCACTTGTTTATTAATTGTGCATTGGGGCTGCCCTAAACAAGAGAGAGTCTTGTTTAGGGCAGAATGTAGGAGGGCAATTGGTTGATAATTCAAGCTTTATCAACATGGCTGATTATGCCAGCTAGAGAGTGAATTATGTAAACTAGAAGTTGCTGCAAACACAATTTAAATAAAAGTTATTCAGTCTTGGTAGAGTCATTCAAGTAGACATTACTACACTGTCAAATTTGATTCTACCATAAAAGAAAAAGAAAACCAGATTGACAGCCAGTTTAGTATAGTCATTAAGGCATCAGGCTAAAAACTGGGTGACTGTGAATTCTAGTCCCACCTTGGGCACAAAGATAGCAGTCACTTTGGATCAGCCACTTTCTCTCAACTCTAGGAAGGAGCCACTTCTGAAAAAACATGCCAAGAAAATTACAGAGACTTGTCCAGGAGTCAAACATGATTAAGCAGAAAAGAAAAAAAAAAATCCAAATTGAGTTTGTTTGGGGGTTTCAAGTCTGATGCTGGTTGGAACAAGGAGCTTAATTTTCAAGCTGATCCAAGCTTTCTGTATTTCAGTTCATTTCGATGTACAAGCTCAAATTCAAATGTATTGTCTCACCTTATTAAATAACACTTTTTTTGCTTTTCTGAAGTTTCTAGTTCGGTTATTGTACGTCTTTGCCCTGACTGTCCAATGCCTAGAAATACTTCTGAAGCCGTTTTTCAGCACACAGCATTGGAATCACTGGCCAAATTCAATGCTGAAAATGAACATAATCGTTATTTTGGCCTTGATAAGGTCACCAAAGCCAGTACACAGGTAAAGTTGAAATGGGGCATTTTTCAGCAAGAAAGTTGACGCTGTATCTTTGATTTATACGAAGATTGCTACAAAAGACAAGGCTTAAGCCAGTGATGGTAAACTTTTTAGAGACTGGGTGTCCAAACTGCAACCCAAAACTCACTTATGCATCAAGTGCCAGGTGGGTGTGGCCCATTGCGTGGGTGTGGCCCATTGCGTGGGTGTGGCCCATTGCGTGGGTGTGGCCCATTGGGTGGGCGTGGCTGCGGTGGTAACGGCAGTCAATCAATTCCAACTTTTGAATCTTTTTTTTCCCGCGAGAAGTTGAAATTGACTGATTGAACTTTTTTTTTTTTTTTTGCACATGGCGGCGGAGGCCTAAAGCAAAAAGGATTTATAAAGCACAGTTGAAGACCTAGGACTGGGGCAATGGCGCACGTTCCCACAGAGAGGGCTCTGAGTGCCGCCTCTGGCACCTGTGCCATAGGTTCGCCGCCACTGGCTTAGGCTAAATTCAGAAATTAAAAACAATAATGGAAATAATCCCAGAAGAGGGTGATTGAATTCTGCATTATTGCCAAAGAAAGTGCATAGACAGATTCACAAAGTCTGCAGGAATCTGATGTAAATATGATTTTAATTTTTATCTACCAGAGGGCTTCCCAGGCGCATCCAGTTTCCCACACGGATGGGACTCTGATCTATGGACAATGTGACATTCAATGTGATTACTGAATATAAATATTCTGTTATTAATAGGAACATTTGACAACATCCTACCAGTTCTCCAGGGCCTAGTGCTGAGAATTATGGAAACTACTGGAGGGCATTAGGTTGATAAAGATTGACAGGGTACCTAAGATTAGGAGGGGCACTTCCTGCAGGCAATGTGACCCAGTCTAACTTCTTGTCTATGACTTTTTACAGTGGGTTGTTGGTCCTTCCTACTTCATGGAATACACCATCCGTGAGACTTCCTGTCCCAAAAGTACGCCTGTGTCTGACGTCACTCAGTGCCCCTTCCTCCCAGTTGAAACTGCAGTAAGTATTCATAATCTTGCATAAAACTTGAATTGGCATCATAGCTCAGTGCACTCTTTCTCAAGAACCGTTTATACAGAATCAGGTTCTTTATTTATTAATGTCAGCCAGCCTCAACGGCTGCATTTATACAACATTTAGACTGGCCTAACATGGGATTGGATAGTCTGTGGGAACATAAGAGATAATCTTAGTTTGTTGTATAAATCAAGTCATCACATTATGCCATGCTATAGTTTATTAGTTTGGCCACTGCATTGTGAAAGGCTGAATGCTTTTTCCGTCATTTTAACAAGAGGTAGATTTATTGTACAAATAACACACCATTAATATGTTAAGCTATTATAAGCAAATTTATATACCAGTGGTGGCGAACCTATGGCATGGGTGCCAGAGGCGGCACTCGGAGCCCTCTTTGTGGGCACACGTGCCGTTGCCCCAGCCTTGCCTCCCCCCGCGACCCCCTCTCCAGCAGCCCCCCTGAAGGAGACTCACTCTCGAGTGTGGCCCACATGGAGCAGCGCAGCCAAGGACATGGCAGCCAGGCAGCATAGACAAGACTCTGCCCTCATACCCCATCATGCAGTTGATGCTGCAGGGCACGGGCTGAGGGTTTGGCCACCATAGCTCTGCTGGGCTGCCTGGGCAATCTGCAGCAGGCCCTGGAGGCAGTGAGTGGTCCTGTGGGTAGACGGGGTGGGAGATGGGGGGGCAGAGCAGGGGCAGGCAGGGGGATGGAGCGGGGGCGAGGCCAGTTTTTGGGCACTCAGTCTCTAAAAGGTTCGCCATCACTGTTGTATACCATCTGTTATACTATATTTATAAGTGACAAGGATATCATTTATAGCCCTGCACATGGTTACAAATTTCAATGTTCCACTGTGTTCCTAATCACCCATGTTTCTTAACAGTAAACCAAGTAACACAGTATATTCTCTGACTTTAGGGATTGCAAATCCTATTTCTTTACCCAGGACTAAAACATTTTTCAAGCTACACTATATTTTTTCCTATCCACTCCTCCCAATTCCCATAGGGTGCTACTGTAGGGTGCCATTGCTAGTGTTTGCTGTCTTATTCTCCTTTGTTTCTCAATCTCTCAGTCTTTCTCAGTTTGTAGGAGTGAGGGGGGAACAATTACTCACTACTGGATGGCTGTAGCTGGTCTGCATCTTTAGAAGGCTGTTAGTCTCTACCAAACCATTTATGTGCAGTTTTATGCACCACTGCATTCTCCTTTAGTTCCCAACTCAAGAACCTTTCTCTCTCCACCAACATTCACATCCTGCTTCTTCATAGTTTCTTTTTTTTTAATCTCTCCACAACACAGTTGTGGACTCTTAAAGTCCCAAGGGACACAAAACTAGAAGAAAGGAAAACTCACACAAAAGCTCTTTGGTTTGGACATAAATTCTTAAATGAACACAGGAACTGGGTTCTGTGAACCTGAGGTTAGGATTCTGAAGGAAACTACCTTTTCTGAATGAAGAACAGCTGGGAAGTAGATGCTAAAATTAGTTATAATACGGATAATCCTTGACTTATGACCACAACTGACTGCAAAATTTACTCAACTGCGAAGCAAGACAATTGTTAGATGAGTTTTGACTCCTTTTATGGCCTGTCTTGTCACAGCTGTTAAGTGAACCACTGCAGTTGTTAAGTTAGTAACACAGTTGTTAAAGGAATCTGATTTTGCTTGTCAGAAGGTCACAAAATATGATCACATGACCCTAGAGCAGGGGTGTCAAACTGCCAGCCCGCGGGCCGGTTGCATCATGCAGTGGCTGCACCCACCCCAGCTCCAGCAATGCAAAAAAGGTCACGCTACGTCGCGACACGTCATGTGACGTGGCAAATTTAACACCTGTGCCCTAGAGCATTGCAACCATCAAAAATATGAACCAAGCCAAGGATCTGAATGTTGGTCAAATGACCATGGGGATCTGCAACAATCATAACTGTGAAAAACAGCCATAAGTCATTTGTTTCAATGCCATAAGTTTGAATGGTCACTAAACAAATGGTTGGATTACCTGTAAATCTATTGAAAGACAAATAAAAGATTTGTAATGTTTTTTATATATGTTTCTATTCTATTCTAAATTGCCAGAGTCATTGGAACACAAATAGAATAGAATAGAATAGAATAGAATAGAATAGAATAGAATAGAATAGAATAGAATAGAATAGAAATACTTTATTTGGCCAAGTGCGATTAGACACATAAAGAATTTGCCCCTGTTACATAAGCTATCAGTATACATGCAAAACAATAAAGTAATAATAAGCATAATAATGATACAGTGGGCAGTATATTACATACTTACATACATACATACCCGTGTTTCCCCGAGAATAAGACTGGGTCTTATTTATTTTTTTTGCCTCCAAAAGAGGCACCAGGTCTTATTTTTGGGGGATGTCTTTTATACTCACCTTCGGCACTGACAGCCCTGTCCAGCAGGTCCACTTCTTCTGAGGCCGAAGGAGCAGATTCATTCTACAGCTGCATTCCAGCCTGCATTTCACAGTCAGGCCTTTCTGGAAGGCCTATGCAGCTGAGTACCGAGTTATGGATTCAATCCATAGCTCGGTCCTCGGCTGCAGAGGTCTTGCAGAACCAAGCTATGGATTCAATCCATAGCTCAGGTTCTCGGCTTCAGTGACCTTCTGGAAAGATCTATGACTGAGAAATGCAGACCTGGCTGCAAAAGACGCCGGAGAAGAAGTGGGCCGGTGAGGAGAGGCCTGGTTGCAGGGTAAGTGGGTGCGTGGCGCATGGGACAGATCCACACCCCTACCCCCGCCCTAGCTTGATTTTTAAGTATGTGCTTCGCCCCCAAACTAGGGCTTATTTTGGGGTAGGGCTTACTTTTGGGAAAACATGATACATACATACAAGATAGATTCCACACAGAAATAGTAAAAGAGCTTAACATCTAAAGCTACTTTCAGATCTTGCTTTTATCATTCAACCTGATGACATATTTAATATGCATCCTTCCAGAGATGGGCAGAAGCACATTTCATGGTTTTCTAAGTCCAAACTAAAGTCTATTCTTAACAGGACTTTTTTCATCTCAGAACATAGTCTGTGCAATCTTTAACAACTCAAGGAGGATTGCTATTCCACTTAGTTTGTATCTGAATTCAAGCTTAGGGTTGTTGTTTTTTAATTTTTTAACCCAACCTGTGGACCATAAGATTAATTCAGTTTCAAAAGTTTGCAGAAGTCTCCAATGAATAAAAAGTAAATAACTATAGGAATATAATCATTAAAATAATAAAATTCTGATCTGGAATACCAAAATGCATTTCCTATTCTAGAAGATCTGCTTCCAGAAAATATCCATAAAATGGTTGGATCACTGCAATCTGAAAGGAAAACAGAATATTCTGATCTTCCCTAGAATATTCTGTCTCCAGTTTTACACATGGATATGGAAACACTTTTGTTCAACATGTATATGGAATTGCTGGATGGGGTTTTTAGTCGTTTTGTGGTCCAGTGTCATCAGCATTCTGCCTGGAGTTCCCCTTGTGAAGTAGATGGGTGGTTTCTAAATTTACTAAGGAAGTACATACATAAATATAATATACCCATCTGTAACTTTCAACCCCAGGCCAGTCAAGCAAAGCTGTTGAGAGGTGCCTGAGGTAATGCAAGTCAGGATTGTAAGAAACTGAATCATAGTGTGTTTCCTCAAAAATAAGACCGGGTCCTTTTTTTTTTTTTTTGCCTCCAAAAGAGGCACTAGGTCTTATTTTCGGGGTAGGTTTTACCTCACCTCCAGCACCAACAGCCTCACCCAGCCAGTCCACTTCTTCTGGGGCCAAAGTTCTGCAGCTGCATTCAGGCCTGCATTTTGCAGTCAGGCCTTTCCAGAAGGCCTAAATAGCCATAGCTCAGTTCTTGGCTACACAGGCCTTCTGGAAAGCCATGTGACTGAGAAATGCAGGCCTGGCTGCAGAAGAGGCCTCAGAAGAAGAAGTGGACCGGCGAGGAGAGGCCTGGCTGCAAGATAAGTGGGTGTGGGGCAAGCGAGGCAGTTCCACATTCCCACCCCCACCCTAGCTTAATTTTTAGGTTTGTGCCTCACCCCAAAACTAGGGCTTGTTTTTGGGATAGGGCTTATATTAGGCCTACCCCCCAAAATCAAGTTAGGGCTTATTGTTGGTGTAGGCCTTACATTTGGGGAAACACGGTAGTAGGAAACCTGGGCAGGTTAATTATTTTTTTGTTTTTTGTTGAACATTTTCTCTTTTGCTTCTCTTTTTAGAAAAGAGGTCTATGCAAAGGCTCTGTGATCATCAGTGAGATAGAAAAAAAGAAATTTGTCACTGTAAAATGTGAATTCTTCCCACCTCCGGTAAGTTCCTCAGTCATCAATCGTCTGCAGAAAACATTCATTCATTCAATTGTTGTGGAACAATTTATTTTTAAGATTCATTGACTGACACGGTTATTGTCTATGGAGATTCTCAGTCATCCAGGTTATGATTGTCCCAAAGGTGTTTTTTCAGGAGGCAATTGGCCTTTCTTGTTTTTCTTTGAAGACATTTCGTTTCTCATCCAAGAAACTTCTTCATCTTGGACTGGATGGTGGCAAATGGAAGGATTTATATTTCTTGCAAACAGTTGGCCATTTGCATTCTTTTAGTGAGTTGTTGAGGCCACCTGGAGGTTTATCTGTGTCCTCAGGGTCACCTGAGTAGTGCAAATGTGTGTGGACCCTTCTTGGTTGCAGGATGTTTTCTGCCCTGTGTCCCTTCACTGTTGAAGATAGGTACAGGCTGTTGGGGATGAGTCTGTGTTGTCTGCATCTCAAACTGAAGCACAAATGGTTCCTGTAGTCAGCAACATTTTCTGGAAATCCATTCATACTCCCGCACCATTTGAAGGGTGTTCATCCCAAAGTGCATAGCTAAATGTCTGTGGAGATTCTCAGTCAACCAGGTTGTCCCAAAGGTGCTTTTTCAGGAGGCAACTGGACTTTCTTTTCTTTGAAGATGTTTTGCTTCTCATCCAAGAAGTTTCTTCAGCTCTGACTGAATGGTGGGGAATGGAAGGATTTATATTCCTTGCAGATAGCTGGTCTATAGTCCAGATATGGCCAACCCCTAAGCCACTTTTTTGTATCTTTTGTCTTATTAGCCCTCATTTACAGATGACCAGACTCCACAATCCAAGGACAGACCTAGGCAGGAGGAACATCAGGATGATAGTGAAAGACACAGAGATCACCATGAACAGAGTGGACACCACCAGCCCCACCACCACAAACAACATGAGCAGAACCATGAACACCAGGAGCCACACCATCCTCACCCCTCAGCTGGCATCAAAGAAATACCACAAATGCCAAAGAAACCAGTAGGGCAGGTGATCTACTATCCTCCTTCGAGCAAACTGGAAGTGCAGGTGCCCAACCCGGCCTCTAACCCTACGCTCGCTTCTCCAGAACAGGATGCCACTACTCACTCAGCCAGGCCAGCTGGGCCAATCATTCCTCCCTTCCCCAGAGAGTTTTCCCAATCAGCCCAATGTCCAGGAGACATTTTAATAGAGATCCGTGGCCTTCAACTGCCTTCACGGCCACTGGCTGAAACCTCCTAAACAAAAAGTGGTGTATAACACTGAAAGCTTAATTCAGAGGAAACAGAGCAAAACCTTCTGGATGAGCAGGAAAAGAAAGGAAGTAAAAGCTCTTTCATTACCAAAAAGTATCTGGAAATGTGGATGTAGACAGTATTAATATATGTGAACATATTAGAAAATCCTTCAGATATGAAAATAAATAAAACTTGGCAATTAAGCTCTCTTAATTCCTCTGCTGCTTGGTTCAAGTTAGACATAACAGTGAAAGCCAAATGATTATTCATACATTCTGCTATATTTCTATAATTATGGAATTGGATTTCAGAGAGAGAGAGACAAAGAGTTCAGAATCAATATTTTTTTTTTAATCCAGACTCATTAAAACTGGAATTCTTCCTGAAAACCCATTTCTGTAGGTCTTTTTGCAGAGCAAATATTATAATTTTTTTCCCATGGAAGTTGCACAATGGATAGGAATAAGTGGCAGCAAACATTGCAATTGGCACATCTGAAAGGCTTTTCAAACATTCCTGCAAAACATTTAAGCTGCTTTTGTGACATTTTGTGCATTTAAAAGGGATCACATATAAAGCTCAACAAATTTTGTGGCATTTATAGATTTTTATTGCCAACAGAAGACAATCTTCTTATTTGTCCAAAGACAATCATAATAAAGGGTTTCCTTCCTTCCTTCCTTCCTTCCTTCCTTCCTTCCTTCCTTCCTTCCTTCCTTCCTTCCTCTATGAAAATTTAAACTTTGGGATCTTCTGCACCAATGCAATTTCATTCATTCATTCATTGAATATATATTGCTCTATCATAAACATTCTCAGGATCTCATACAATAATATAAGAATACATAAGGAGAAAAAAAACATGCTTGCAATCAAAAACAGCATCCTGCATACACCTCCATGGATCCACTGAACTTCTCATAGGAGGCCATTTTCAAGGGCCATCCCGATGACCAAAAAAACAAGGTCCTTGGGCTTCAGTCTGCCTGACCTCCCAAGAATATTCTCCTAGCTCAATCAAAGCAGTTGGGAGAAAGGCAGTCTGCAGTCAACCCATCCCAAGCCAAAAGCAGTTTCTCATGACAACTTTGGTTGCAATGGAGGGGTGTTAAGGAAGGATGCCAGGCTCAAAGGCAACCAGTGGCTCTCCCCAGTTCAGGTCCAACACCACTAAGTGCACAATACTAGGCTCATGATGTGCTACTAAGCTGGGAACACAGAGAACGCAGAAGCAAAAGGCAGTGGGAAGACAAAGGCACCATCAAGGTCAGTTTCTCAAGAAGGCCCAAAAGGAAATAAAACCAGATCAGCTTATTCTTCTTCAACGTATGCTACATTAGAGAATCTTGAAAGTCTGAAAATACAAATCTCCCACCATCTATTTTTACCATTTGATAAGCTAGGACAGATCCTTTCTAAGTTTCTTTCTCTACCTGGTAGTCAGCTGGGGGGTTCCTCCCCTTTCACCTGATTCTTCCTTAGACAACATTTCTTCCCTTCACCTCTTAAAGTCATCCCCGCATAACATTACATCCAGGTACTCTTTTCTGGCTCCCACTTGCAAGGTCTTCCCCCAGCATGGCTTGCACAGTGCAGACTTTGCTTCTCCTCCGAAGTACCAGCTTCCCTGGCATTGGCTTCTCCTCCATGATGGCACCACGCAAACCAGCACTACAGGGGAGAAGCAATGCCAATCCGGTGCCATCCTGGGCTACAAAGAAGAAGGCTTTTTCTTCTCACAAAGCCTTAGTAAGACCACACTTGGAATACTGTATCTAGTTCTGGCCACCCACAATATAAAAAACATGTTGAGACTAAGGAAAGAGTGCAAAAAAGAGCAACAAAGATGATTAGGGGGGCTAGAGCAGGGCTTTTCAACCAGTGGTACGGGTACCACCTGTGGTACATTGGCACATGACAGGTGGTACGCGACAATCCTAGAAAAGTGGTAGCAGGGGAGGGGAATGAGCTGAACCAGTGGCAGCACTGTACAAGAGATGGCTGAAGCTGCAGGGCTGTCAGGGCTCAGCGGAAGCACCAGGATCAGTGCCACTTTCCAGCTGATCGGCGCTTCTTCGAGGCTATCAGGGCTCAGTGGAAGTGCCAGGATCAGCGCCAGGCTCCAGCTGGAGCTCGGCGCTGATCCTGGCGCTTCTGCTGAGCCCAGAAGAAGTGCCGATCAGCTGGAGTGTTGCAGCATCTCCAGGGTCTTGTGATTTACATTCAGATGCTTGGCAACTGATTCATATTTATGACGGTCACAGTGTCCCAGGGTTATGTGAAGTGACCAAAATCTGCTGCAACCACCCAGCAGACGGGGGGAATAAAAACCAAACACCCCCACCCCACCCCTGCTGCCAATCCTCAACAGAAATGCTCACAACAATGAAAACCTCGGACAGGAGGAAGACCGCCGCAGGTAAGTGTCTTGCTCGGCTGTGCCTTGGGGGGGCACTTTTTTAAGTACTATTGTAACTTCGAATAGTCACTAAGCAAATTGCTGTAAGTTAAGGACTACCTGTACTTTATCACTTTTTTTCTTTTTTTTTGGGTCAAGTTTTTGACACCTTGCTAGGCGACTGGTGGTACACAGATGTTGCCCTATCCTAAAAGTGGTACAGTGGGTGAAAAGGTTGAAAAGCCCTGGGCTAGAGGATAGAAGTATGAAGAACAATTACAGGAATTGAGTACATCTAGTCCAGTGGTTCTCAACCTGTGGGTCGGGACCCCATTTGGGGTCGAACGACTATTTCACGGGGGTCGCCAAACAAGGCTGTCCACCATTTTTCCCCCCTTTTCTTTGGCCATGCCCCTGGCACCCGGTGATGTATAAGTGGTTGGGGGTCACCACAACATGGGGAACTGTATTATGGGGTCGCGGCATTAGAAAGGTTGAGAACCACTGGTCTAGTCTAATGAAAGAACTAGTGAAAGATGCTGAAGAACATCCTTGGAGGCTTTGCTCCAAGATACTATGCCTCAGCTGAAAAGCTGACAATCCGGGTTCAAGACCCCAGCTCCATGCAAAGGGGTAAGCTCCCATTACTTGCCTCAAGCTCCTGCCCACCTAGCAGCTTGAAAGCATGCAAATCCAAGTGGATTATAAGTAGTCCTCGACTTACAACAGTTTGTTTAGTGGAGGGTGAGAGACAGGTACCTTGGCCTATACCTATACACTAAACGAATGACTCATTGGGACCCCCATATCAAAATAACTTACCTTATGCGCGGCCAGCATTTGAAAATTACATTTAACACAGCACAGTACCTGAGCAAAATGGTTTGGCTGAGATCGGCATATGTGAGACTGATTGGGGTAGATTGTAGGGGTCATAGTGAAATATAATTGTATCATATTTTATCTATCTACATCTTAAATTGCCGTCTTTGATTCTAATTTCATTTTAAAAATGTATTTTATCCCAATTTCATTTTAAATTGTATTTTGTTTCTATTTTATCCTAAATTATATTTTAACTAATTCCATTCTAAATTGTTTTTACTGCATTTTTAGTGTAATGTGTGTTTGGAACTCTGCACCTTGATATGGCCCACAGGCTAATCAATAAAGATTATTTAGTTAAAACAGTTTGTTTAGTGACTGTTCAAAGTTACAACGGCATTGAAAAAAAGTGACTTATGACCACTTTTCACTCTTAAGACCGTTGCAGCATCCCCAGGGTCAATATGAATAAAATTTGGAGGCTTGGCAACTGATTCTTATTTATGACGGTTGCAGTGTCCTGTGACCACCTTTTGCAGCCTTCTGCCAAGCAAAGTACGACTAACTTAACAACCGCTTTGATTCACTTAACAAATGTGGCAAGGAAGGTCGTAAAATGGGGTAAAACCCATTTAACAAATGTCTCACTTCACAACAAAAATGGGTTCAACTTTGGTCGTAACTCAAGGACTAACTATAACAGGTACCACTTTGGTGGGAAGGTAACAGCGTTCTGTGTGCCTTTGGTCTATAGGAGGGGTGAGGAACCTTGGCTCTTTTATGACTCGTGGACTTCAACTCCCAGAATTCCTGAGCCAGCCATGCTGAGGGGAAAGGGAGAGGTTTCCAAGCTGAGCCGTGCTGGCTCAGGAATTCTGGGAGTTGAAGTCCACAAGTCACGAAGGGGCCATAGTTCCATCATGCTGGCTCAGGAATTCTGGGAGTTGAAGTCCACGAGTCATAAAAGAGCCAAGGTTCCCCCCCCCCCCCGGTCTATAACCATGCTGGCCACATGATCACGGAAATTACCTTCAGACAACGCTGGATCCCTCATCAGCCAAGAAACAAAGATGGGCACCACTCCCAAAGTTGGACTACGGACAGGAAACCTTTTATCTTTATACTGCACCTATTCAGTATCTTGACCACAAGGGGGTGATATGCAATTAATCTAAAACTCCAAAATTTACAAAACTCTACAGTGCTAAAAAGAATTTCATAGTAGATTTCTCCAAATCAGTCCCTCCCCCCCCCTCAAAAAAATCCCATTAATCTGATTCCTTGATTTGATTCTCCAGATTCTACAGGAGCTGCACCACATTTTTTTTTTTTTTTTGTCTTTCTGGTTAACTGATGGTATCTTCACTAAATGGTGAAGGAAGCCCTTGATTCACAACTGTAATTGAGCCCACAATTATGGTTGTTAAGTCCTGACAGTCATTAAGCAGGTTATCACACCACACTTAATTTTATGAAGGTTTTTTTTTGCGGTAGTCATTAAGTGAACCCATTGTTCGCTATGGGTGGTTTTTTGTTGACAGACAGAAGCAATTTCCATAAAAATCATAGTTAGATGAGTGAAGGATGCTACAAATGGCTGTGAATGCAGGCTGGTTGCTGAGCACCCATAATTGCGACTTAGCTTAATATATGAAACAGTCATCCCCTACTCTGATTTAATGCATCCACCTGATATTTGACTTCATTGTATGATCAGTTCTAAGTATTTATTTGGTTTTAGGTTTTGTTTTTTTAATGGCATTTTTTAAAAAAGTATAAAACATTACAAATTAATTGGACACACTCACAAATGTACTTAATTTATTTTAAAATGTGCTTGGCTTTAAAGCACTAATAGAAAAATAAGGCACTGTGGATAATGCAATGCTAACCCTAATGCTAACCCTAACCTTTAACCTCTTCTTTTCCACTATGAGACAAAAATGAAAATGAAAACAAAAGCATCTTTTTTAAAAAAATAGCTGGAGAT